ATAATCTATATATATATATATATTTATTTTTATATATTATATTATATATATATAAATAATGAATGTTAATGTTCAATCATAGAATAGTTATTCTGTATATTTTAGGTAAATTTAATAAAGATAATATAATTTATACCTAGTATCAAATATTTATTAAATCTCAAAGATAATTTTAATAATTTCATAAGACAAACTTGGTGAACTAACTTTCACATAACTACTTGTATGTTTTTTGTCTTGGCACTCTGAGGTTTGATAATCACAATATCACAGGTTGCATACACAGCTGCAACTTGGAATGTTGATTAAACTGTGCATTTAATTTCCACTTCTATAGCATTTTCTTTTAACAATTGTTTAGTAAAGTAGGTTTATAATTGTCTCATTGATTAAATAAATGTATAAGCTTTTATTATTTGATGAACCAACATCAAATAACTAAATGACTTTCTATTAGTCTGTGTTTTTTTCTGTCAGCTGATAAATTGTGATATTCTTAAATATGTGCACTTACAATAAACTGATGAAAACATATTTTGTCCTCTGGTCCATGGTGTTATCCAAATCTCACAAGAACCAATAATAAATTGCTTAGGTGTCTCACAAAATTGAATGTGGGTACTCTTTTCCTCTGACCTTTTCCTTCCACTGTCATATCCAAAGTTTACTTTTTCCCTAAGCTCAAACTTAGTTACTTGCACAGGCCCTTTTCATTCTTTAAATGCTGTTCCATATCACGCTATGCATTACCCAAATGTGCACACAGCTCATATGATCTATCAGCCCATCATCTATGTACCTATCATTTACATACCTATCATTTAGTGTATCTAATTTTTCTCCACCTTGTGCTAACTAGTTCCTGTGAGATGTGCCATGAAACCATTAGCTACAAATACCCTGACTAATTTGGTAGGATATAGTGCTATTTGTGTATAATGAGAGGCTTCTTCCTCCACTGTTGCCATTAAAAATATTAATGAAGCTTATAAATATGAAATGATCATCAGAGAAACAAGGTCATATAGAAATTAAAATGTTGACAAGTCCAACTCCCATAAGTTTTTCTCTTCTCTTTTTGACTTCCCCCATACTAAGCTTTATAACCGTACTACGATTGAGACATTTTCAAATATGGGAATTTTATATCTTCCTACTATTAAATGTTCAATGATATTTCCATTTCTTAAGGAAAGGAACATTTAAAAAATAATATTATACCCCACAAAAGTAAAATATGTAATAAATACTAAATTAATATTTGTAAATAAATTGGTACTTTTTTTACAATAAAAATCTTTCATGGATTATTTGTTGATTGTAGTGTGATCAGCCATCACCAAGACTTGTATACAAAAACACCATTAATAGCACACAATTAGAAGATAACATTGAAGTGTAAATTTATAATTAATAACTATAAAAATAAATGAGACTCCCATAGGTGAATTTATTTTGGAGATATTTATATGATGTATATGTATGTGTGTGTGTGTGTGTGTGTGTGTGTGTGTTAGTTGCTAAAATTTCATTATACAATGCTCATTCTACTAGATATCAATTGAATTTAAAATTGTAGCTTTAGACTGTGAGGTGCCTCCTTGAGAAAGGTACTTTCTTCCAAGGCCAGCAACCTGAATTCCATCACTGATAGTCTGATGCTTATGGCATAGGAAAGGATTTAGTAAATTTCCCACTTGCTCATCTTGGGAGTACACACACTCTCTCTCTCTCTCTCTCTCTCTCTCTCTCTCTCTCTCTATATATATATATATATATATATATATATATATATATATATACATACATATATTTAGGAGTTTAAAATCTTAGTTATCATAAATATAATTAATTTCTGAAAAAAAATAGGAACCAAATCAAGACCAGATATTGCCAAAATTTATTTTGGGGAAATTATTATTGGCAAGAGACAATATTGCTTAATAGGATGCATTTTAATAACATTTCCTTGGTTAGTTTATATCATAGGAGATGATTCACAGTTTTAAATAACTCTTCCTTGTTTCCTAGGTATAACAAAGTACCGACCCTTGTGAGGATTTGTAGCAAGAAAGCTCTGAGCTATTTGTCTATTTCAGTCTATGAACCAAGACTCAAGAAAGATAAATCAGCATGATTTCTGAGGACAGGCCTTTAATTAAATGATGCTCATAACTCTCACGTTATGTTTTCTTGGAATTCTTTGTGAGAATCTCTTTAGCTTGGCTTTAGAGCTTGAATGTATAAAACATTCACTAAAGCTCTGCATTGATACACAATTTAACTCCAGTTTTCCTTTCTTCTTGAAAATTCCACCTTCAGCATTTCCAGGGAATCTTATTAGGCGTTGCGTTATCACCCAGCTAGATTCACCTCTCAAATGTATGCAACTAGATAATAGCAACTCATTTTAAAATCAGTTTCTTGAAGATTTTTTGTGATAAGTTTTGACTATGTTCACATCTCTCTCAGCTCCTCCCAAGTCCTGTCCCTTTAGGAACCCTTACTATAAAATTATTTTGAAGTGTTACAGCAAAGAAAAAGGAAAACAAAAAAAATTAAACTTAATTAGAGCCGTATAAGATTTGGGAAGGATTTTGTTATTTTGCTGTGAGTGACTGTCCTGTCTGTTTTGGGGGAAGTTTGAATACCTTTGTCTAGATGCTTCTTACTCATCTAGATAACTCTGAAAACAGTTCTGTGATGAGTCAGTTCTGAAATTAATATTTAAGGGACTCAACAAGATAAATACAAAATGCATACATTGAAAGAGACAAAAAGAACAAACAAAAAACTTACAGATGCTCTAAACTCCTCCTGAGATCAAGCTGACAGTAAATTTCTCTTTGATATTAATAGACTGCGTGTGTTGCCCTTGATACTTGAAGTCAAAACAAATGAAACTCAGAAAACTATAATTATATGTCAAACATACTTACATTGTTGTGCCCACACCTCTGTGCATTGTTCAATTCTCATCAGAGAATTGCTTCCTTCAGTAGATGGTAATTAACACAAAGACCATATCTGTACAATGCACAAATAGTGCAAATCTTAAGAAGGCTCAGCCCTAAATAGGATGTCTTTATCAACTCCCCGCACAGAGGCAGAGGGAAGAGGAGGGGATGGGGGTTTGTGGAGGGGAACCTGGGAAGGGGGATAACATTAGAAATGTAAATAAATAAAAAACAAATAAGAATTATGTAAATACAAAAAGATAGCATTTCAAATGTAAATAAATAAAAAATATGTAAATATGAAAAGAAAGGGGGTAAAAAAAGTCAAGGAGACAAAAAGTTGCAAGGGCCAGAGGTAGTGGATGACCCCAAGGAAACAACATCTTTCAAACACAACAGGACCAAAACACTTATCAACTCAGACTGTGGCAGCCTATGCAAGACCTGCAGAGGTTCAAACCAGACAACACCTCAGTATTGAAAATGAGAAATAAATTACTACTTGCTTGGAAAGGAAAACTTAATTTTCTACAAAAGTGTCATATTGTATATCAACACACTCCAGGACAGATCCCAGGGTCAAGACTGGTCAGTACAAAAGAGACTCCTTGTTTTATTTGTATGCTTTTGTTTTGTTTTGATAATTTTTTAATCTTGCTGAATTTTTTGTTTGCTAGAATTTTCATTTTGGGGGTATTTTGTGTTTGAGAGTAACAAAAAGAACAGAAAGTTGGATAGATAGGGAGGAAGGTATGGGAGGAGTTAGGTGATTGAAAAAAAATATGTTCAAAATGTATTATATGGAACAAGTGTTAAACCCCTGCCAAAAACTTGGTCAGCTGAGTCCCTCACTCACTCCAGACCCAATCATTCAACTTCAACATCTCAACCTCCACTCTGCAACAGAACACCTGCAGCAGCTTCTCTGCTCTCCCTGCCCACATCTCCTATGGATCCTACCCATCTTTCCCTTCTAACCTCCCTCCAGAATTGCCATCCTCTGCGAGTCCACTGCTGCCAGGGAGGCAGAAAAATTGATTGAGAATCTTCACATCTCCTTATGGTCCCCCAATTCTCCTCCCATACTCATACCCAGCTTTGTAGCTAACACCTGCTGTTGTCACTCTTTCCTCTCTAAGACTATTCCCAACTGATCATAAAAATCTTATCCTCCAAACTTCCTTCGCTGGACTCATTTCATTACCCCAGTCTTCAACACCAGCAGGCATTCCCTGAGAACACCTCAGCAGAGCAGGTCAGGGAATAGATTCAGTCCCATCCTCGGTGCTATAGCACACCTTCTGGGGTGACCTGACTTACTGCCTATCCCCATTCCAAGAAGACTAAGTAAGTAGATTCTGATTGATCATTCTGTTCTCCTCCATTCTCTGAACCACTAGACCTTTAGCCTATCCACATTTCTACACGTCAGCTTCCAATATCCAGAAACACATTTTACCTAGAATTTCCCTGTGGCCACACCCATCATTGCCACAGAAAATTTCCTACCTGGCAACACACAGTCATCATACTTTCCTAAAAACCACAAGGAAACAGAAACTAAGGAGTAAAGCAAGCACACAAGAAAAACAAAACAAGAAATCAACTCCAAGATCTTTAGTCACTCAATCCCAGATGCTTAGATGCCAGCATAAAAATACAATTGGTAACAGCCAGGGCAATATGTGTTCAGTAGAACTCATCAACTCTACTACAGCAGGCCCTGAATATTCCAATGTAGCTTAAGCACAAGAAAACAGACCTTAAAACTGCTTGTATAACGATGATACAATTACTTAAAGAGGAAATTAATAAATCCCTGAAATAAATTCAGGAAAATGCAAAATAAACAGTACAAGGAAATGAATAAAGTTGCTCAAGACCTGAAAATGTAAATAGAATTAATGAAGAATACTCAAACTGAGGGAATTCTGGAAATAAAAATTATAGGAATTTGAACAAGAACCACAGAGAAAAGTTTCAACAATATACTACAATAGATGGAAGAAATAATCTCAGGCATTGAAAATACAATAGGGACAGACATTCAGAAAACACTGAACAGAGGCAAGACTTCGGAGAAAGCAGACCAAGCATGATGGCCACCTTGCCACCAACAGCCAATCCTTCCCAGCAACCTCTAAACCTAGAGGACGAAGAAGATGGAATCCTGGATGAGTATGACCAGTACAGCCTGGTTCATCCTTATGTAGTCGGGGGAAGTCGGAAAGGTAGGACAAAGAGAGAAGCTGCTGCCAATACCAACCGCCCTAGCCCTGGTGGGCATGAGAGGAAACTGCTGACCAAATTCCAGAACTCTGAAAGGAAAAAGGCCTGGCGCTGAGGCAGAGCTGGAGATGAGGTCAGACCATGGACACCACACCCGGGAATGGACACAGGACTTTGGAGAAATTAGGAGCTGTAAGCAGGACCTAGGCCTGCTTGAGTCTCTCCCACCTGAGTGAGGTTCTGGAGAGGGAGCACCAAAAAGCCCTTCCAGACTCAGCAAAAGGGCAAGATGGGCAAGAAGCAGAGGGTGGATGGGCAGAAGACATCCCCCAAAGAACTGTGGGAGAAATCGCACGCCCTTGGGTGGCAGCGACAATAAACCGTACAGCAGTGAAAAAAAAAAAAAAAAGAAAATACAATAGAAGAAATGGATACATTAGTTAAAGAAATTGGTGAGTCTAAAACACTCCAACACAAAGCATCTAGGAAATCAGGCACACTATGAAAAGGCCAAATCCACTAGAAACAGTAGAAGGTCAAGAAACTCATCCTTAAGGCCCAGAAAATATTTTCAACAAACTCAAAAAGAAAAATTTCCTAACTTCAAGAAGGAGATGCTTACAAAGGCACAAGAAAGACATACCAAATAGACTGTACTAGGAAACAAAATACCTTCTGAACATAAAAATCAAAACAATAAATATACAGCAAAAAGAAAGAATATGAAAAGTTGCAAGGGAAATAGACCAAGTGACTTATAAAAGCAGGCCTCTTAGAATTATACTTGACTTCTGAAGGGAGGCTCTAAAAGTCAGATGAACCTGGACAGCTGTGCTGCAGATGCTGAGAACATAGATTACAGCTCAGACTACTATACCCAGCACAATTTTCAGTCACTGTACATGGAAAAATAAAATAATCCCATTGTATAGCCTAAATTAAACAATATCAATCTACAAATTCAGCCTTATATACGTTGCTACAAGGAACACTGAAACCTAAGGAGGTTAGTTACGACACTGAAAACATAGGGAGTAAGTAAGCTCATACTAGCCAAATCCAAAAATGAGAAATACACACACGACCACCACCACCATCAACAACAGCAACACTAACATCAACAACAGCAGCAAAATTACAGAAATAAACCATCATTGGTCATTGATATCTCTGTATATCAATGGTCTCATTCTCCCCCAAAACACAGACTAACAGAATTGGTACAAAAACAGGATCCATCTTTCTGCATACAAGAAACAACCCTTAGCATCAAGGAGAGATGTTACCTTAGCATTAAGGGTTAAAAAAATATTACAAGCAAATGTACCTAAGAAACAAGCTGGTATAGCCATTTTAATATCAAACCCAAACTAATATCAAAAGCATAAAAAAAGACACTAAATACTTATCAAAGAAAAAAATCTATCAAGATTTCAATTCCTAACATCTATGCACGAAACAAAAGGGGACCCTACTTCTTATAAGAAACAGCTTAAATCACATATTGACTGTCATACACTGATAGATGGAAACTTCACTACCTCACTCTTATCATTAGACAGGTTATCTAAGGAAAAAACTAAACAGAAATACTGGAAATTACAGATGTCCTAATCAAAATCAATCTGTAAGGTATTTATAGAACATTTCACACAAACACTAAAGAATATACTTTCTTCTCTGCAACTTATGGAACTTACTTCAAAGTTGACCACAAACTCAGATACAAAGCAAGTCTCATCAGATACAAGAAAATTGAAATAACTCACTGTATTCTATCTGGCTGCATGGGTTAAAGCTGAGTAGTAACAACAACAGAAAGCATACAAACTTATGGAAACTAAACAAATGTCAACTGAATGAAAAACTAAAGATAGAAATAAAGAAATTAAAGACTTTTAGGAATCCAATGAAAGTTAATACACAACATACCCTAACTTATGGAACACAATGAAAGTGCTTCTAAGAAGAAAAAGCATAATGCCAAGTTTCTATATTAAAAAAAAAAAGAAAGAAAAGAAAAGTAAGAAAGAAAGATCAAACTAGAACAATCTCACACTAGCAACTTAAGAACATATCTGAATTTAAAAAGAAGTAAGCACACTCATAAGGAGTAGAAATAACCAAACTCAGGGCTGAAATCAGTAAAATATGAACAAAGAAAACAATTTAAAGAATCAATGAAACAAAGAGTTGATTCTTTGAGAAAATCAACAAAATTGACAAACCCTTATTCAAATGAACTCATTCAAATAAAAGGTGGTAGAGAATATCCCAGTCAACAAAACCATAAACAAAAGGATGTAGTAAGAGATATAGAGAAAATAAAGATAATCATAATTCACATACCTTAAAAACCTGTATTCCACTAAATTAAATTGAAAAATCTAAAACCAGGCCAGGCGGTGGTGGCGCACGCCTTTAATCCCAGCACTTGGGAAGCAGAGGAAGGCGGATTTCTGAGTTCGAGGCCAGCCTAGTCTACAGTGAGTTCCAGGATAGCCAGAGCTACACAGAGAAACTCTGTATCGAAAAACCAAAAAAAAAAAAAAAATCTACAACCAATAGATAATTTTCTTGATATATACCACTTACCAAAGTTAATTCAGGATCACATAAGCAACTTAAATGGACCTATAACTCCTACTGAAACAAAAGCAAAAGTCTCCCAACCAAAATCATCCAGGGCTATATTGCTGTAAGGAAGTTGAGAGTTTAATTTCAAAACTGCCATCTAATTTTAACTGTACAGATTATTTTCTTTACCTATTCACCTCAGTTGTACAATTAGTTCTCAAACATTAGCTTTAAACAGAAAAAGCTATTCACCTTAATGTTTTCTCCATTATATAATTAATCATGAAATCTGAGAGAAAATAATGCTTTAGCAAATAAACGGAACTAGAAAACAATCATCCTGAAAGAGGAGCCAGAAAGATGACTACAGGACGTATTTACTTATATGTGGATATTGGTCAATAAATAAATGATATCAACTTATAATCCACAGACCCAGAGAGGATAGGTATAGAGAAAGGAACTACAGGAGAACACATGGATTGCCTAGGATGGGAAATAAAATAGATTTTATGAGTGGACTCGGGGCACTTATATGAGGACAGAATGGAAATATCAGGTGTGGAGGGATGTGGAATTCTGGGAGGAAATGAAGAAAAAGACAGCTGGGGACATTTGAGTGGTACTATAGAAACCTAGTTTAATGCTAACTTCCTAAGTGTATGAAGGCAATCCTATTGAATTCAGGATGAATACTCATTCAGGAGATGGAGTATCAACTGGCTATCTCTTATCACCAAATGATGTTTCCAATACAAGGACTAGGTTACCTCCAATTGAGTTGTTGGTCAAAGAGGTCCCTTGGAAATTCAAAAAAAATTTTGGCTTTTTATAAGACAGTATGTTGCTCTCTGCAAAATAACCAAAATGTCCCATTGCTGAATAAAAGACTCACAAAACTATTGAACATGAAGAAGGTGAGCTGGTGCCTACATAGAATCGTTCACATAGATGTTTAAGTGTCTTTGGTACAGGAAGGTACTCTTCAGACTAAGGGAAGGGAATCATAAATATCAACCCAGCCACAAAATCTTTTGTGCACATTTTTTCAGGCCTGCAAAGATAACCATAGGACAATGGTGACAGTAACCACCATTTGTGGGAGTAACCAACCACTTTCTGCTTGACTAAGGCCCATCACACAAGATTGAACCTATACCCTATACTGCTTGGGTTACCAAGAAGCAGAGACTAGAAAAGCCAGAGACGTAATGTAAAACAAATACTACTGATCTTAAAATACATTGATAAATCACTACTAATAATAGTCTGCTAAACTCATAAATCAATGCTTTACTCAGCCATCATCAGAGAAGCTTCCCCCTGTAACAGATGAGAACATACACAGAGACCACCATCAGACATTACACAGAGTAAGGTCTTGGAACGCACAGCTCTAAGTAGGATGTCTCCATACTCCTTCCCCCTCAGACTCAGGAAACCCCATAGAATAGGAGGCAGACCAAGTGTTTAAAGGCCAGAGGGGATGAAAGACATTGAGAGACCAAGGCCCTCTAAATCAACTGATCAGAGCTCGTATGATCTCACAGAGACTGAAATGGCATGTGCAGGAACTATATGAGTCTGCACTTGGTCCCATGTGTATAAATTATATATTTCAGTTTAATATTTTTGTTAGACTCCTGCATGTATAAATGAGTGAGTCTCAGATTCATGTGCCTTCTCTTTGGGCTCTGTTGCTCTTGTTGGGTTGCCTTGTCCAACTTCAATGTGAGAATTTTTGTTTTATCTTAATATATTTTATTTTTTAAATAAAATTAAAAATTTTTTACAATAATAATTAATTAATTAATTATTATTTTAAATACTCAGCAGAACATACTTTGATTAATCATAATTATGTTTTTTTTTAATGGAAGAGGAAGCTTTGCTGAAGAAGCCCATGTAATGACCAATGACAGACATAGATTATAAATAAATATCTGTCTAGGTCAGTCTATCTAAACACTATGGCCATAGGTTGACTCAGCCTTTCTTCTATTACTTATCATTTCTATACTGAGGAGCATCCTGTGGTGGGTCATCTTGTTAATTAGGAAGCTGAGGTGTATGCATATGCACAGTTATTCCTCTAATGTATGATAGGAGGACATTTTCACTTGGCAATCTATTTGACTATTGCTCTTCCTGAATTATCTAAATTTTGTGAAATTTCTTTTCAAGTGATGTGCATATCGAAATAACCTTTTTAGAAGTATACATAAAAATAACTCCAAGAAGGTAAAAGTTTTATAAAATACTATTTATCAAATTGTATGTTGTAAGCTACTGCCATTACTAGGGTGTAAGCTACAAGCATCACTGGGGAACATGTGTCAGTATCTGTGTCTTTCCTAAAAACCATGAAATAACAACTCTCAGATGCTTTCACTTCCTCAGCACAGTAATTATATTTGCACTTAATTTTGAGCTTGTTACATATAATATTTTGCCAAAGATGATCATTTGCAGTCATTTTGACACTGGCTTAGCATCATAAATATTGACTGTGAAACAGCATTGACTGCATTTGCCTAAAATATGAGGATTTTGATCCAATTATGTGAGAATTTGAAATTGAAAATATGCACAAATCTCTGTCAGTCCAGGATTTGCAGAGGCGGATATGAGCTGTCATTGCCAATATACTCGTTGTCATCTTTGGCTTTTAATAATTGACTAATGTGTACCACAGTTTAGTCACTACAGTGAGCTATCAAATGACAATACTCCACACATGAACCCAAACAACAAGAAGAACAATAATAATCCAGTACATTTTATTCCGTTCCCTGACTTTTTGTTGTTTTTCTAGAAACAAACAAACA